CAATTTATCAATCAATCAATTCAGTATTCAATTAAGTAATATACAAGATTTGATGATTAAGAATAGGAGTCTTATATAAAAAGCATGTAATATAAGCTTTTTAAGATGTGTACCTTTTTCTCTGTGTTGTCAAAGCCTCCCTCTAATCCTAGAATCAGAATAAAAATGAATAAAAGATCACCTTGCCTATGCAAAAAAACTCATGAAACCTCCACAGTTATTATATACTAAGCTTACTAGCAGACCTGAAGACAGAGAGATCAGAGGATGATCCAGCCACTCAGGGCTTTCGTGTAGGTTTGTTAAGTTCTAAGTGGTTGTTTTACTTTTCCCAACTCCTTACCCCCAAGAGAATAGAAATAACCCTCGAGACACAGAGGTATACCATAGACCAGGGACAAGGGGATTTAATAGGGGATATCCAGGGGAATCCCTAGGAGGCAAGGGGATGGAAATAACCCTAAAGACATGGAGGTAGATGCCATACACAGGGTCCATGCAGAGTATCAAAAATATAATTTAAGGACTTTTCAAGGACCAAAATTGTATTTTCAAGGAACATCATTTGCACATTCTTACCTCACAACTTCAGCCCAACGGAATAATTCTGAGATCGCTATCGCTTCATGATAGATATCTATCTTTTTCAAGGAGTTTCCAAGGACTTTTTCAAAATTTTCAAATTTTCAAGGAGTTTCAAGTGCTCTTGAAAACGAGTTTTCAATTCAGGCACTTTTCAAGGCTTTAAGGACCTGCACARACCCTGCATACACTAGGGACAAGAAAATAGCTAGGGAATGTCCTGGCATGACAARARGGACAGGAGAGAGAGGAAAGTCCTGGGCATGTGTGCACCCGATATACTGGATCTACAGCTCTAATTATATGTCTTTTCTAAGGGGATAAGACACTAAGAGAAAATAACTGTCTTGCCTCAGCACACAAAATGATTGTCTGGGATGGGCATTCAAACCAACTAAATTAACTGATGCCTTAAAACTATACTATTAATTTTCCCCCTGTAATTAATAAYCAGTTCCTTCAGTCAAGTATTTACCTATTGCAAGTCTAGTAGGTTTTTTCTTTGGAGGAGTGTCAGTGGTACTCTCTTGTGCAGTCTATAGTTAGAATTACAACTAAATCAATGTGACAGGAATYCAAAAATATAAAACTCAACATAAAACCAAACCACTTTATTATTTCATAATGGTGTTATAAATTCTAAAATTAATGCTGATATCACATACCGGTTTTTTGATTTTCTTCATGTGCAAGAAGGCATTTTTCCTCGTTTTGTTWGTATGCCACTTGATATGTTTTGGACAAATACCAAGAAACGTTGACATACATATATACAGTCCACCATCAGATTCCTTTTGAGATAAAAATTATTATTGTATAATTATTAACCATTGATTCTTGCATCAACCGAAGAAAAGAACCTACTGGTCATTTAGGCTTAMATTGACCAAGTTTGAGAAAAAAWCCGCTGCYAAAGTTCGAAAGAAATGGAGTGCTACAAAGTGTCATGTAGTTTTTCGCGTATTTTGTCCCAAAACGACTCGACAACACTTCAAGCAAATAGTTTCAATCAATTCCACCTTTTTTGTTCTACTTTAAGCTTGATTTAAGCAACTTATATGTAATGGTAAAAATGTAATTTTATAAAGAACGAAGAAAATTTGTCAGCGTAATTTTGTTCTGCCTGACTTACCGGTGAGTCGAAACAGTACATACACTGATCCTTGTACACTTTCATACCTCCTGCAGGAACCCGAATACTACTGACATCTATTTTATCCATGTTTATGAACAAAAACCGCACAAAAWTGTACTGAAAAATGAAAGAATATATGAAAATCTTCAAAAAAATTCCCACTGAATGAAGTGATTGGGTAGCCCCGCTGTATATTTACTGCGGGCTCAGCTGTCAGAGAGAAACTAGGGAGAGATGACCGCTTACTATAATGATTGCTGTCGCAAATTTTTCAAAAATGGACGACATATAAGAAGAAAAAGTCAGGAAAAAATCATTCATTATAAACCGAATTGTGAGTATTGAAMATGATTTCTTTGGAAGTATTCATTTAATGGTTTGTTTGGAGTATATGAGGCCCCAAGTGATCAGTTTTTATGGAAATCCAGTTCAATTTTACCGCACCCATATTTTTTTGAAAATCATGTTTTGGTTTTGTCATGGACGTTACCTGCCGAATATTTTCGTTTTCTCGTGTTTAAAAATCCCCTTATATCCAAAAGTAAAGTTATCAAGTTTTATTAAATCCTCGTTATTAAGGGAATAGTCATTCGTAATGATTTTACTTAAATATAAGCTTAATAGGGGATTATCGATATAACAGACGAACATTTTTATTTTAATGTATCTTGATATTTAAGCTTAAATGTTTTGTTATTTTGTTGTATTGCCTTATTTTTTTGTATTGCCTTTCTTATGTACCTTTTTTACTGATGTGTTTGTTTTTTGTTTCTTTCTTTTATTCATTTTTGTATTTTTTCCATTTATTCATTCCCTCATTTTATTTTGCAGATTGTTCAAGAAACTATACAAAATATCCAACAAAGCTCCACTATGACCAAAAAATTACCCCGAAGAAATCCTGTCACAGCTGAAAGAAAACASCAAGAAGAAAACTCTAACCMACAAAAGATAAAGGCCTACGACCAGAAGACTGGGTACAAGCTCTATGGTTACCATGACCACCAAATACCACCCAAGATGAGAGTCTCTTACATAGTATCCAGCTATAGATTTCCAGGAATGACTGCTGACCAGTGCTTTGGCAGCCTAATGCAGGCTCATAATGAACTCCTTAATATTTGGTCTCATCTTATTGCTCTAGGGTTGTTTTTAATACAGGTTTTACCTGTTATTAAGGCAGTTAATGTGATAGAGGAGCCATATGTTATTCCTTTATTGTGCTGTGYGCTAGGGATATGTGTAATGTTTATTGCTAGTGTTTATACCCATTTATTTAACTCAATGTCGCCTTAYATGTATCACATTTGTTTTTTCTTTGACTATGCTGCAATAAGCTCTTGTTTCTTTATAATTTCTCAAGGTATTTATTTCTACTCACGTCCACTGAATACAGCATTTAAATTCTTTAATTCCCCTGAAATATTTCTTTATCTTAATCTGATAAATTCCTTGATTTGCACCTACACAGTTTGCACTGTTCTGGTAAAAAGACCGTGGTATCACATATTGGTGCGGACAAGTGCATATCTTTCACTTTCATTATTCACATTCTTTCCTCTTGCTTGCCGTCTAGTTTCATGTCATTTTATGCCAGCAAGTACTTGCCCAAGTGGCTCGCTGACTCATTTCAAACAATGTGCAGTTTATTTTATAGCTGGTGGGTTAATATATTCTACACGAACCCCAGAAAGGTTTGTACCTGGAATGTTTGATGTAATAGGGCAAAGCCACAATATTTTCCACATTCTCTCAGCCTTAGCAGTGTCTCATCTCTTCACTGCTATTCACACAGACATGGTTGAACGAAAGGAAGCTTTGCTTGTTAGTYATTTATCTTACACAGAGCTATCCGTCATGTTGACAGTGCTTGCTTTAGTAGCAAATCTCACAATTGTAGCATGGCTGTCAAAGTCATTATACTCCAGGCAAACAGAAAAGGAAAACTAGACTGCAGTTGCTAAAAGCATGAAAAATTACCCAATAGTACTTATAGATCAAYAGAGTCATTTYCATCCGTMTGTGAAWCAATTACTACTAGTCAGTGTTTAATAGTAACTATTAGGGTSTGAYAGGCTACCAAAAGGCAAAATCAAAACCATGTTTGCCTAATTAGTTTGTCGCATGTCATAAGTTAAACTGTTGGGAGCTCATAGTGGGTAATAGTATTTAATAGTACAATTCCTATTTCACAGACAAATGAAAAYGACTGTATCATGTAAAATTAGACAATAGAAATAAAGGAATTTGCATCTCATTACTCTACAGTGCCATCCTGATAATTATTATTAATACTTATTATTTTCATGGTTTTAGTGTTAATGSAGTCTTAAAGTGAATTAATACTATTTCTGCCAAATAAATAAACTAACTTAACTAAATATTGTTATCAAATTACTGCAAAGAATTGTCTTCTAGACAAGGGAACACGGCAGAATGTCTTTGTACCTATCATTTGATTGATAGTGTCTTGGACAGGGTAATATTTTCGTAAGAAATGCCTTAGAAATAGGAGAAATAACGTTTCACTGTAACAGGATTAACGTGTTGTCAGTATAACTACAGTTTTGATGGTTGCGGCGTAGATACCGATTCCTTATTTTTCCGATTTGTCTTGAACAGGGTATGTGAGACTATGTAAACAGTCGATTTATAGCATACAGATACATTAAATTTCTCTGTAACTTGCTGTGTGGATTATTATAGTTACCGGTAATATCTGGAGCAATTTTCAGAACTTTTATGAATTATTTTCCCCTCTTACTATAATAGATGACTTCACGCTTGATGATGAATCATGGGTAATCAAAGGACAAGATTACTAAGGGGCGATGGGAAAAGAGATACTCTTTTCGCTATAACTGTTGAGTCCCATTAGTTGGAGTAGATAGCTTTGAAATAAGAAGACACACTGTTTCCATTAAGGCTCAGCTTATTCTTCCATCAAGAGAAATGGCTAAGAGAAATACGCTGCTGCTTGTACTGGTCCTGATTCAGGGTCTGAATGGGGTTAACCGACTAGCGACAAATGGACAAAATATAACTACTGACTAGCGACAAATTTGAACCAAATTTGCTGACTACYRACATTAACAAATTTACTGACTGGCGACATTTTCCAATATTCAAAGATGTTAGCTCCGTGAATACAAGCTTTTTTAATTTTTCAAGC